GCTCTTTTTAATAAGCTCTTTTGATCCGTGACCCTAGTATAATTTGATAGCTACTTTTTCCCACGATCGCTGTAAATGTTTACTGATCAGTAAGCTCTGACCACAGATTCTGTGCAGTTTTAATTATAATCTGAATTAAACGCAACTTCGAATGTACCGTATAAATCTCTTTGAATGATAATAATAATTTTTTCCATGAAATTGGATAAATTGTCCGAAGTACCGCGAAAATTTCTATCACACACCAATGAATATTTCTCATGCCCTACAATTTTTTATATAACAAGAACAATTCATAAAGATTTCCTACGTCTCTTTTCCAAAATCATCATTTCCGCTGCTCGTAAAGCCGCATAGAGAAATTTACAACGCCTTATCCTTGCACAGATAACTTGGCCAATCACTTACGTACTCAGCTTCGTGGCTCTTTAAATTTTATATGAAATAGGTATGCTGTTTTCCCTTAGTCTTGTATAATAGTGAGCAATGCTGGAACTGTATTCTCATCGTCTTGAACCGTTATGATAGAAACACAATTTTTCAGCTATTTCTATGAGAGATTTTATAATTATAGGATTGTTTATTTCTAAATGAGCCTCTCAGAAGCTAAATTAATCAATCCCATTTCTTTTCCATTTCGAAATTTTTATATTTTTCTTCTCTATGTCTGCAAGAGTTTCTCGTTTAAATATTTGATCGTTCTTACGTTAACGTAAAAATTTGGAGAAAAAATATTTCGTACTTCGTAAAGTTATTAGGACGGCTTTTTAGAGGCCCAAATATCGCAATGATGTAAAGCAGTATGGTATACTCTCTGATTGTACAAACCGAACAGTTCAGGATGATGAAATTACAGAAGCGAATGTCTATCTCTACGATTGTATTGAAAAATAACCTTTACAGGATCATTTGCTCTTTTACTTCTTTCATTCTTTATTCTTTAATACTAACTACTAACATTCGCTAGTATGTTAGCTCAAGTGAGAGGAACAACTGTCAGTTTCAATTCACTTCATTCTCCATTGTCGTGATCATGGTCTGCTCCGCGATTCATAAGGAGCGATTGGCCAATCTCTAATGAATGTAAAGCCAGCGTAAATTACTTTTTCCCTTTACATGGTTTACATTCATTGATTTTTTCTGCGAAACTACTATGCTACAATATGTACAATTCATAAGCAATGTATCTGATTGTTCTTGTAAATGTTTCCTCATACGTATACTCCGGTTTGCTTTGTAGTAAAATAGATGTAGAAACGTTAATTGAATGCTTTTTTTATGCGTTGAAGGTAATTATGGACGGTACATTTTGAATGTAATGTGAACTCAATGAAAAACAAGCTTTTCCTTTCCTGATGTACAGAATAAAATGAGTCAGCGAAGTGACATTCGTCTAAACAAACAGTGAAACAAATTCATTGTCCAGCAATGAAGTTTGTTGCTGATGGAACCATGTCTTCATAAGACTCTAGGTGTCGATGAACGAAAGAAACTTGACATTCCCAAGAACAGTCATACATTGTATACCAATTAATACGTACTTATTACATAAACATACAGTACGTACGTTTTATTCGTATACACTTAAATATTTTAGTGATTATTGAAGATACGAAATACTGTCTCGGATAAAAGTTATTTGACATGACGGGGGACATTTAGTAAGGTGCTTCGATTTTTTCTTATATTGTTATTTAGAGAGATGTCAAACTCATTGCAATGTTTTCATATTGGTACTATATAGTATATAGTACTATATAGTAATATTACCAATATTTTCATTATTGGTACTATTCATTATTGTCATTGAAAGTAATTTCAAGGTCAATGCAATTAGCGATATTCAGACAATATTCAATTGTTTAGATACTCGCCGGACGTGAAGAAACTCTGAAGCGGACGCTTCCTACGAATGTTTATAAAAATAGTCGATACATTATTAATTAAACGTAAACGTTATTCACATCGTTGAATTCGTCTTGAAAAATACAATAAATTAATAATGAATAGTACCAACAATGAAAATACGTAGTACCATTTAAAAACATTGAAAACACTATACTAAATGTCCCCGTCACGTTGAACAATTTTTATCCAAGACAGTTTTTCGAATCTTCAATAATCACGATAATATTCGAGTGTACACAAATAAAACGGACATAATATATGTAACGAATGGCAGTGCATGTGACACAGATCAATTTGTCACTAGTTGCTTCTTTTTTAAACATAAAGTTATTTCAAAAAGAAAAAGGAAAAAAAGGATCAGCACTTAATTGCTGCCTTTTGCTCGATGCCAACAAAAATTGTATACGATCGCAATATATTTAATCGTAAACAAATTACTTATTGTTAAGTATTAAGTCCCTCCCACTCGATAAGATACTGAGTCTGACCATTTGGGCCTATCCTCTTCGCTTTGATGACGAACTTTTCACCTGCTGCGATTCTGTTGGCTGCTCCAAAATATATGTTCACCGACGATTTCAGATCATCCAAGGATATGTCAGGTGCACTTTGTTTCACTGGTGAACACTTCGGAGATGTAGGCACGCTACCTTTCTTTTGCTGTTGTGAATCTGGAGGCGACAGTTTGTCATTGCTCTGACGTTGTCTCAGTCTCCTACCATTTAAGGCATAATCAACACAATTTCCAATTTGACTACTAGCACTGCTTGAGGCACCGTTAAACGAACTTCTTAAATTCCTTGCAAATTCACTTTTAACCTCGTTGTTACGCGCTGGTAAAATGGTCGCTGTTTTACTAGCAGTATGTTGAAATTGTTGTTGCAATTGTTGCTGTGACGGGCGACCTCTCCGATGTTGTCGTCTACGTTTTACTTGCCCGTTTCTGTCTATAATAATGTCTTTCTCTGATAACTGCCTTTTAGCTGGCCGCACTACCGGCGGTTGCGATATAACGGGAGTAAGCGGTAGAGGTAATGTGATTGGACATGGATTATACGGTGATGGAGTACTCGAATTTGTTTGACTGAGATTGCCAGGAGTACCCAATAAGTCACTGAGATTTCTAAATGGATTATTTTTGCCTTCAAAGTCTTTGGGTGGTGGAATGAAAGAATCCAATGTTCCTCTTGAACTTGTTTCATCCCCACTTGTATCCGCTGGAGTGGACGGTGGTAAAGGATGCATCAATTCCACAGAACTAGGCACAGATAATTCAGATATCCCCGAAGTTGTAGCTGGAGGTGTGGGAGGACCGGAAACTGACGTAGGAGGCGTTGGCGGTAAATCCGATGCTTCTGAACTTCGAGATTTGCTCTATAAAAATGCAACAAAAAGTTGAGTTACAGTTCCTTTGATAGATATTATACAAAGGAGAAAAAGAATTTATAATTTAATACCTTGGCTATAGCGTTTTTCAATAACTTTCTTGCTTTCCTGTATCTCGCTTCTCTAACTCCCTGTGCTTTACTTAAAGAGCCATCACCCTTTTCTCTCTTTTTATGTTTGCGTAACATTCTTTCTCGAGAACTTCCTAACGCCATCAAACGTCTTCTTCTTTGTAAACTCAGTTTAGGGAATGGGAATGATTTTTTCACAAAACCACCTCCACTGTATCTACAAGTAATTAGAAATAATAATGTAAAATATTGGTTATGCTTTTAATTAAAGGAATATGTGAGAAGTACTTCTATTTTAATATTGTGAGGATTTGTACCTTTCTCTTAAAGATTGTGTAAACTGACTTGGTGGACTTGGACTTGGACAAGAACTTTGCTCTGCTTCTGAATTTTGATAAATTGTTCCACGCATTACCACATCTGATGGATTGACAGGAATTTCTAAATTCTCAGCTGTGCTTTGTTTCAGTGCAGTCAATTGTTTTGTACTCTCTGGTAAACTAACCGGTCTGAAACAGTATATTTTGTTTGAGATAGATGAAGGCGAAACATAACTGGTGGTAGTAATAACACATATTTTGATGAATATTGCAATAACTAACCCTGTAGGTGGAGGAAGGTATTGCAGTCTTTTATTAGCACCCCAGCATCTACGCAATACAGAATCATCTATTATACCACTTGCTGGAAGATTAACGATTGGGCATGGTGGTGGTAATCTAACTCTAAGTCCCCATATCGTAGTACGCTTCTTTATTTCTCTGCCACATTTGAACCTGTTCCTATTATTTGTCAGTATTGCTAGTATAGATTCCCTCCGTATTTGAGCACTGACATCCCTGATCTAATAACAAAAAAAATATATTTGTATACATTTACAAGAAATGTATATTGCACATCTTTTAAGAGTATATGCTGTATTTATAGAGATGCGTAAAAATCCTCACCCGTGGTGGAAGCTGTAAAGTATTCCAATTATCATTGGCATAAGGTACAATAACAGTATCCAAATCATAATACTTTTTAGCATTGTAAACAGTCAAATTGTACAACATCAGGTGCACCAGATCTACCCATTTTAATTCTAGTCGCCGTACAAACTCCTTGCCATAATTGCACATTGAACAAACAAATACATAAAACCTATGAAAATTCACAAATTTAAACTATGTATAATAAAAAGAATGTTTTTCTTTTAATAAATTTGTTGTTTGCACTCACCTATCTCCACTGTATAAAGGATAAGTTAGACAACTGACACATTTTTCGTGAAACCACTGTTTACAACGGGCACATTGTAACATTTGTGTATACCATTCTCCGTTAAGCCCACAATAACAATAAATTTGTTCAGCATTTACTCTATGATGTGCATCCCAACTTAACATATTAGGCTGTAATAAAACAAATACTTAAATTAACATTTCATTTTCTAAACTTAATTTAAAACAACACATAGTTCAAGATACTTACGTCGTACGGCAACTTTGTCATATCATCTGGTGGCGGCTGAGGTTGATCTCTACCACTGCAAACTTTTCTTATACTTGCCTTTACCATAGAAGTTTTTGGTTCCACAAGTTCGCGTGTCCGTGGTTGGCTGTCCACACATCTTTTACACATCCAATGTGCCTCGACTGCAGTTTCTTCTTTCGATATTTGAGGCTGTAAGTAAATGTTTTAGCTTAAATAATTTTACTACTCATTGTACAACCATGCTATAATATTCATACTGAAATCATATTTCCATGTTTCAGCAAATATAAATTATTACCTGATGACAAAGTTGATGATAACCACGGCCACATTTGTCACAAACAATAATGTCATTATCAGTCTTGGGCTGAGATTTTTTGCACAGAACACACATAACATCGGAGTCTGGCATTGACAACTTTGTCAGCTCCTTGACTGAAGACCAGGAGGAGGTATTGTCCATAAATTTGACAAGGCATCTTTCCCTTGCCAAATCCACCTATATTCATATATAAATTACTAATACATTACATAATACACAAAATAACATAATAAGTTCTAAATTGATGATAGAATTAAAATTCCATTTTATCAAAATTTGTATTTCACAAGACTATGTACATAAATTAAGAATCATACCTCAACAACCGTTCCAAGGTAATATTTTCCATCTTTATGTTGAAGAAGAACATCGTCCCCATGAGAGAAACTTAACTTTTGTTCCCTCGTAGTACTATCGGGCGCTGCCAGACTTTCTTCTGGCTCTGACATTTTCTACCCTGTTTCTAAAATTACATACAGACGTAAAAAATAATGTGTTATGTACTGAATATAAAATAAGATTAATCAGCAAATAATAAGCAAGTATGATTTAGTGTGGTTATTATCAAAACTAACATTATTATTATGATTTAGTTATTATTGGACTATGCATTTTGTGCATTTCTATTACACTTAATAGTTAAATTTTAATGTAAGAAACATTTTAATACATTTTCCAGAGATTTTTGTTTATCAAACAAACTAACTCAAAACTAACTAAAATAACTTTAGTTTGATTTCAGTTTAATTACATTTGCAGAAACATTCAAAACCTAGGTGCAATACTTAATACAATTTTATGTAACATAACTCAGTTACTTTATTAATTAATATAAATGAACTTTGACGTACACAACTATGATAATACATTTTACTATGTTAAATCATTTATTTCTATTTAACATTAAATGATAACAATAGCAACAGATGCTGTTTACACAATTAACTCTATTTGTTCAATTAACTTATAACAAATCAACATTTTCTTTCACAACCACAAAACTGAAATTCAGAATTAGCCTTTCATACATGCTACACTAAGCATTCCCATTAAAAACAATTTTACTCGTGATTTGAAAACTGATGATTGCATGGAGGAGTAATGTTAATACACAATGCTGTCTTAAAATGTTTGGTTGAAATCCGAAGGGAAAGCAAGTCTTACATGCACGTACACATAATGCTTGATCCACAGAAATGTGTAAAATAGATCGTCGTCCGGCGAATCATTCGTTTACATCCATTACAATCAGCGATAAAGACATTAAAAGAATCGAAAACGTATCACGAAAACCTGCGAAAGAAATAACGACCATATGATCGGCATCTCATTAAAAACCAGTCCGCGCGCTCTCGCTCTCGTTAACGAACGAGAGTACCTACGAAGCTGTCCTAAACAAGACAAAAGGTCGCGTTCGACTATGTACACTTTTCAGAACTCTTTATCACCGGTAACGAGCATGGACCGTGAAATCAAAGTTTTCGTTGATCAGGGCAAATAGACGGGACCTAAAACCGATCAATTGACGAAGACACTGGTGATACGGTAGATACGAGCAACCCCCGAGACAGCTCCTAGCACCGGGCGGTGCTTGGGCCCGGTGGTGGTGTTTTTAGGACAGAAGACCGCGCGAATATCGTTCGATCTCTGAACACCGTTTTATGTCGTACCTCAGTGTCTTGGCCGTGGAATCACACGCGATGTACGGGCCTCATTTTCCGATTCCTGTCAGCCATTTACAACCATGGGGGCCCCGCCACGGTCGGTCGCTCCGAGACACACAATCGCGGCGCGGCAAAATTCTATCCCGAGAAGTCAGGACGACGACACGCCGGCACGCATGCAGCCGTAACGATCACGCCGGCGCCTGGGCACCCACGTCGGCCACCCTCAGGATCACCACACGCCCTTAGTCACGGACATCACCGTGGCGAACTCGGTGCACTTTCATTGTGTCCCTTGAAAATTCGAATGAGCACCGTCCGCCATGTTCGGGGAAACACTTGCTAGAGACTACGCTGATCAAATAAGCTACTACGGTGGCAGTGCTCCCCATAGGGATGTCTAACGAAATAGAAACTCCCATTTCTCAGTTGTACTGGAAATGCTAAGAAAATTTACGATCCCACTACTGCGAAGTATATCATGATTCGAAATAATTTGTTTGGCTTGATTAAAGTCAAGTATGTAAGAGAAATATCGCATCTGTAAATAATTATTGAAATTACCAATTTTAAACGTAAACAAACTCTTGGGGATTTATATTTTCGGATTATTGTATTTATGAAATTGTAATTGCAATGTACAAGTAAACAAATGCGGATTATGCCTTTATTGTAACTTGCATTTTTTAGAAATCGGATCAGGGTACTTGTGAAAAGGTAGCATATATACCAGGGCACCCAAATTTCAGTATACGATCATGGTCGTTAGTTGGACGACCTATTGTAGTGCAGGCATAATATAAACAATTCGTTATGAGATAGATAGAGATTCTATTGTGACATGATAATTATTAGAAACTAATGTAATTAATTAAAGTACATTAATTTGTTAGAGTGACCGTATTTTTGAAAATTTAAAGTTTGCACAAAATTAGAGCAGTGTGTCTTCCATGCATAAGATCGTCGTCGGCTGTACCCTAGACGTGCACATAAGTTGTGCTAAATTTTAAATTGTCTAAAACAATGCTTAAAGTATAATAAACAAAATACTTTTATTCGCGAATATAAAAAATTTTACGATGAATGCGAGACTTATATGTTAAATCTAATAACGCCAAGTTGTACATGCAATTAATTATGGGTGATTTTCTGTGATTAATTTGTAAGCAAAATACACATTCGTAAACCACAGTTGTTACTAACTTTTATGTATAAATAATCATCTTTAAGAATTTAATCTTAAGCGGTTAAAATATATTCGTACATAAAAATTCTTACTATTAATTATTTGAATATTAATGGATGATTGGTACTGAATGCACTCTAAAATTAGCCGTAATTGTTCAGACGGGAAAAGAGTGGAATACAAATATCTTATGCCTAATGAAGTAATTCATAACCAACTCACGTATCTACATGTGAAGGGTTGCTAACTTGAAAGTTAAAGCATGCAACTTCTTTTTACTATCCGCAACTCACCTGTCGCTTTTTTTTTTATTTAATTTCAACGGCTCTTCCTGCTGAAAAAGCAGGGACGAGTCTCGCCATTTTGAAATGCAAACTACATCTGTTTTTCATGGGAAATCAAAATATAATGTTATATTATATGCTTAAATTTTTATATTAAGAAAGAAAAATAAAAATATCAGAGAAAAAGGAAACAACAATAAGTTAAATAAATATAGTATTTATTTTCATAAAATTTGACTGGTGGAAATATGCCTATAATCATATCAAACGATTACAATAAATGGTTACAACATTTCTAAAATGTTTAAAGCACAGTTTGTAGACATATAAGATTTATTTTGTACTATATAAATTTATTATGTACGTGAACCTTCTTCGATTTTTCAAAGATGCAATTAATTAAGGTATAATTAAAATGTAAAACTGATCACGAAGTTATTTAATACATGTATGATTTTGTACATTTTGTTGTATTGTAACTATGTATAGAAATATTGGTGAAATACAGAACGTAAACCGAGGATTGTTTTGAAAGTTGACTAATAAAAAATAGACGATATTTTCGTACGGTATTTTGTACTAAATGAAAAATTGATATCGTTTAGTACGAAAAAATTATTATACATCTATCGAATGCAATATCAATAAATGTTTTATATGAAAATGAAACTCGTTTTATTTATTTGCGGAGAATAATAATACCTCGGCTCATCAACGTAATTAATAGAGATAATTTGTTTATAAAATTACATTATTTCAATAACGTTAATGTTCAATACAATCATTGCGCGAATACATTGTGGCGTCTTTGAAAAATTACAAAACAATTGTATAATAATTGTTATCAAACATTTTGTATAATTTATAACCTACGCGCACATTAATCAATTCATGAAAAGGTTACCATTTTGTAATAACAATTTTCCTTAAAACATTTTTTTCTTCACCGCAGTATACCTTTCCATATAGTTATCATAACCATTGAGATCAGCGAGTTGCTTTATCTCGAATAAATTACCTTCAAGAGCCAGCAGCGACACTTTTGAATCTTTTAAAATTTTAATAGGTACAGCGTTCAACTGTAAACAATTCTCTTCCAGTCTTAGCGTTTTCAGGCGCTGACATTCTGCCAGCTTCTCAGAAATCGTTGATATCTGATTCTGATTGAGGTTAAGTTCAACCACATGCAATGCCGCGGCAGCGTCCGGAACAGTTGTAATTCGATTCTGCGAGACGTCCAGCACGTCTAAGAACTTTAAATCGCAAAACATCAGGGGGAATTCGATAATCTGATTACCAGAGAGGTTGACCTGCTTTAAGCGCGTTAGGTTTTGCAAAGACCATGGAATACTTTTGATTTGGTTCGATGCTGCATTTAATCCTTCTAATTTTACCAATGCCCCAAGAGCATCCGGCAAAACAGTTAGTTTATTGTGACTAATATTTAATTGTTTTAACAACGTAAAACTTTCGATATCGCTGGGTATTCGAACGAATTTGTTCTCGGATAGATCCAACGTACGTAACAACGGTGCTAAGGCACGTAGGTTCTGCGGGAATTCATCGAGCTTTCTCTGGGAAATGTTTAACGTGCCGGTCTTCTTCGCGGTCTGGTAATGTTGTTTCAAACCAGAGTTCCCCATCTTACGCTGACATTAAATGTACTTTGCATTAATCGATCGAATAAAACGTCCTTTGGTATTCCCGTTTTTGCAACGTGACTCTCAAGAATCTTTTTTCCCTCGAATTCTTGAAATATGTAAAAATAAGAACTTTATTTTGTAATCAACACTTTATTTTTCAAAATCTTTTCTTTTCAGTCATAATAAATTGAAACAAGTCTTTTGGTATACATTGCCGGTAGTCCCTCACTACTCACATCTCTTTGGCACGGTTACGATCGAAAACCGTAATAATACGTCTTGCTACAGACTGTACTCTGTCATCGATGGACCTTAACTTTCGTCAGCCACTGTACCGATGTATCCGAGCCAGTCGTTGCGCCGCCACTCCTCCGATTAATTTTCACTACAGCGATACTTCGTATTATTAATGGTCGTAACCTGGTGAACGGTATCGCGGTTCAGAACAGTACGTACGTGGTCGCGGAACGTCTTCCGTCCGTGGATATCAACCGTTCGCTGGCATCCTTTCGTGGACGAGGATTGAGTGAAATGTCAACCGATTGACAGTCCGTCGGCCATATTGGCTCGTCGGGCTATGTTCAAATCTCGGCCGCGGGATGGCGGTTCGCGCGCTCGCGCCCCGAAAGATGGCTGACAAACGAAGATGTAGCGGTGCACGTCGGGTTTACATCAGACTGAAAACGCCGCGGCAACCACTAGTGTGTAGTTTACGATGCGGTCGTTCGCGGAAATGGTGAGATAGTGTTGCGGCTCGAGAGGACATATTACCGGCTAACAATGGCCTCGACGCCGAAGTCGGAGAAGCACGCAGGTGAGTTGATATTCCCGTATGTACTATGACCTACGAATGAAAGAGAACGTACGATGTTCCCTGTGTGTCAACGGGTGAAGCCCGGTCGCCGCGATCGTTTTTCGTTTCTTTCCCTGTCAATCGGGTCCTTTCGCGCCTCGAACAAACGAGCGTGCCACCAGGATTCTGTTGGGGTGTACCGTATCGAACGCCACTATCGCTGGTACCATGATAATCGAGACGTTAGTGGACCGATCATTCGCGGACGCTACCGGACGCGAAATGTCAAAAGCATATGCGTACAGGCTTGAAGCGTGCTGGCTCGCTTTATCTATCTTCTATTTTCCTACTTTCTTTCATCGGTATACGTCACACCGTTGCTGTGCCGATTTCGTATCCGACGTACACAATGAGTTCCATTTTCGCGACGATGGTATAATATACCCTTCGATGTGTGTTTAGCCCGTTGTATGTCAATCGCGTAACGATAACCGCTCGGTGAATTCAGTGTTCGCGACTTTATGTTCTGTCCGATATGTACCGGTACTGTGTTGAAGGAATCAGGTTTACATTGTGAGGGACGTCCGTTTGATTCGACTCGATGTATCGTGCGTCCGGTATCGATAGAAATGTCGTTCGGAAAATTCCTGCGCGTTAAGGTTGACTTTCAATAGAAGGAACGCGCGAAGAACCGGGAGAAGGCCGCAAAAGGAGGAAGCATTGTTGATTTTCTCTCTCTTCTCCGCGTATGGGTCGAGATTCATAACGATGGTTTCGTTGGTCTGCGGTGTTTCTTCAAAAAGGCTGGCCCGCACATTTTCGCGGCGAATGCGACGACACTGGTAATAATACGCGGGTCGCCTGGAGTGTATGTCAATAAACCGTCCACGCGCCAGGGGCGAGCCCAATGTAATTCGAACAGCTGTCCGTGTCACGAGTTTTGTTGTCCTCCGTTCTCACCCTCCAAACAAAGAGTTGCCCCGCGGTATTTCCACCGCGGTTGTATTAACCCATTTATATGTGCGGCGTGTGTCACTTAGAATTATACACTAATGTTAGGAAGATTTTTGAAAAATAATTTACACAAACGTACTTGTATTTAACATGTGAGGATTACGAATTGATGATTTAAGAATGTTTTGGAATAATGTACTAAAAGTTATACAGGGTGGTACAACTGTAATAATTTGAGAAACATTGGATTTTGTTAGGTTCAATAGTTGGCTATTCTTTTTTATGCTTTATTCGTTTATTTTATATTATTGCAAATATTAGTTGAATATAGTAATTTACCTCTTACGACAGAACTTCTAGTTTGTAATTTTTATATTCTAAATAAAAATACGCGTATGAATACACTATATGATTAAAGCTTATTGTAAACAATACAGGGTGGATGGTTTCAAGGGTTAGAAGTGTTTTTATAAATATTTTCTTGCTTTAAATAAATTTTTTAAGCTTATTATGAAACATATAAAGCCTTCATGAGGTAAGAGGAAGAATTAATGATATAGCAGCGGTTGCTCATTTAACACTTTTAATCTATTCAAGTGGACCACCCCAGAAATTGTTTCATCTTTCAATTAACTAAAAACAAATTTCCAAACTCTATTTCCCAAAAATAAATGGTTTAAAGGTTTTATTGTGTATAATTTATTGTAAATATTTTATTATAATAAAAAAATATAGTTAAGAAAGAGTGTTTATGAATATGTTCCTATTTTTAAAAAATGTTATTTTGCTGAAGAAACTAAGTAAACATTTTCTTTTGTATTTCTGAAGTTTTTAATGAAGCGAAAGTAACGAGAAACAGTACAACGTTGGAAATTTTTGTGCCTCTATTTTTCTATTGTACATTAACAGGTGCAACTTATCAGAACTGATACGTTCGACCTCACGGTGGTGCTGATGGACAGATACACTTAAGTAAAGGCAGTTTGATCAATTTGCCGGATAACGAGTACCAACTAACTCTGTACCCTACGTCATCTGCCTCTGGTAATTGCGTTTAATGCGAGTTGATTTGTAGCCGGTTGAAATCGTAGCGTTGTTCGTCGTTCTCGGCTCGGCTGCTTCTGAAAAAAAATAGTCCCGTTAACAGGAAATTTTCACCGAACGGAACGAGTCGCGATCAGTGAAGACGACTTGTAAATCAGACTCTATTTTCGGAGTAGGTTTAATGAACGAAAGACGGGAATAGAGTGAAACTTTAAGGAAACATAGCGGTGGTCTACAATTTCCAATTATTTCGTTTCATACTTTGTTAATTGGTGAACGACTACCAGAAACGTATATCGTGAAATATATGAATAATTAAATCTCCAATTAATTATTGTTTAGCATAAATAAGACGGTTAATTACTTCAACATATTTTCCCAGTAACGGAAGAAAGTTTACTGTAATTACTTCAGGTTCATATCAAACTACCAGTTACTTCTTAATGTGACAGTAACTTTACTATATCGTACAGTAATGGAGTTCTTGTTAACATTTTCGCCAGTCTGCTCATTAAAACTGTAAGTTTCTTTATAAAACATTGTAAGTTGACCGACTTTGAGACTTTAACGTTTCACGTAGCGTTAACAAAAACAATACACAAAGCATCCGGTGACGGAGTCTCTAAAGGTTAGACATAGTTAAAAATAGAAATATAGGTGCAACGATGTAGAGTTAAACCTTTGTAAACAAGAACTGCCTTTAATGTCGAAGATACTTGACGAGGAACGAGATTATGTGCGGCTCGTTTAATTCACTCTCTAATCCTTCTCTCAAAGTTGCTCAAATGCGTGACACGAGCTCTAGGCAGGCTTTCGATTAGTAAAATTCGATGACGCGTGTTCAATGGAAATTATCAGCCGTCGTAGCAATAACTTTCGAGGCTACGATCGAAAGGCTGCGGCCAATAAACGGGGGTTTCGAAACGCGCAATACTTTCTGAGTCACTCTAATGCCTATTAACTAATTTGTGTAACGTGGTGTAGCTAAATTGTCGATTAATCTGCTTCAATATAACACACGCAAACGTACACGCACACTCGTGCTCCCAGCAGCAGTCGATGGGGTGATGCTCGAGCTAGACAGCCACTTCAGAGGTCCTAGATATCCCGGCACTTAGCTGCACCCTTCCGAAAGTAAATAACTCGTGCGTTCGTTTAGAGCCGGGGAAAAACACAAGAAATCAAATCCCCGACCAACAAGAAGCCGCGGAAGGTACATCACGGCGAGGCTATCCACTCGGGTAAATTACGAAGCGTCTCGAAAGAGTTTTCCGTCCCGACGTCCTCGTTGATGGTTACATTCGACGGAATCTCGTTACCGAGGAGTGTACCGCGAGATGATCGAGTTTCTTCCTCGACGACGTCGCGACATGCTGGTTCTGCTTCTCCGGATGCACGGATAAAATGCTCGTAGAACGGTTAATGTTGGCTCGGAAGGAGAAAAAAAAGATCGCGGCTGAACCCCAAGCAGAGAGGGTGAAAATCGTGACTTTCGTTCGATAAACCGACTCTTTGCAGGTTCGGTCAATAATATATCCGCGTCGTCGTTGTCGTCGTCGCCGTCGTCGTCGGGGGATTTCCGTCGGTTGGTTACTGAAAAGCGAACTCTCATTAAATTTCCAACTGGGCGGGGGTAGTTCATTGAAATGAATCTATGGCGTCGACCGGTGCGTCACACAACGCTGGGAGAACGGTCTGCCCGATGCCTGCGCGCGCCCGTCGAGATCGAACGTCTTTGTCGGCCACGAAAGGAGCCCCGAGAGAAAGAAAAGTGAAAAGACGCGAGAGATCGAAATATGATTAAATTCTGTTCGAGGCTTGCCACCAGGTTCCACTTTTCCCTACCTATTTCTTGGGCCGCGGACATTGTGTCTGTTACGGGCTTTGTTGAAGGTCCGACTGTTTTATTCGCTGAGACTTCGCTGCTGGATGTTTTGTTATTGCTTCACTAAAAATGGGGCAACTGAAGATTCGGGAAACTATTGGACAAAAAACGTGTTTCGGTTTAAATGGATGGAAATCAAGATGAAAAATGTTGTTCACGGTGAGAGTGGGAGGCTAGAGTTGTTTTCTGCGAGGCTGTAATTAGGGTAATCCTCGAGAACTCGCAATAAAACAGGCTTTACATTCTAGCCGTAGTTTTGGGCTGCTTTGTTACTTCTTAGGTTGTGGCCGATGTGCTGAAGGCAATTTTAGTAAGAGTGAATAACGTATATCATTACATCGAGTCTTATGTAAAAGTTAACTAAATGTGTAAGGAACACTGTAATCAGTGACCTACCATTCTAGTCTTTAAGCAATTTCTGCTTGGTTTGTACTTTCAACTTTGAGTATCTAATATCTGTGTGGAAATGTTACTTTAGTAATTGAAATAAAATGTGCAAGAGATGGAGGGAAAAAAATGAAAAGGAAGGATGGAAAAGGCAGCTCTGGATGGACTAATTAGTGAGATATAGAAGCCGGTAGATTCAGTAGCCGTTGGAAGACGGTTGTTTTAGTAGTTTTTTGATGATGACAGATACAGTAAAGAAAATATAGTACCTATAATATATTCGACTCTGATGATACCCATTATACTCATTTTAATTGTATCATATAGTTAACTGATAATAAGAAACCAAATTATTGCAAAGTTATATATTAGGTAGTAATGAAAGTAAGTTTGGTTGCATGTATGAAAACATTCAAATTTTGAGAATTTAATTGCAATTAATTGGAGATGTGCATAACTGTCAAATAAGAAACTACTTCTGGTCAATTTGAAAACAGCATTGTTATTTCATTGCTGCATGAAATTACTACTAAAAACAATATTATACTTGAACCCCAATATCACATACGTTTAGAGATTTATTTAATGGATAAATTAAAGTAAACATTCTTCAGTAGTATACACGTGGGCTTGGAGAGGAGTCACGTGTGTACAAGGAAAGTTTGACTCACTGACGAGCATGTGGTATTCGACGAATTAGAAACATAAGAAAATTTTGTGCATGAGTAGCTCCCCTACTTAGCTACTGTTTGATCGTGAGCATTGCTCAAACGTATCCTTCTCAGTAAACCTAACTTCGAGTTACAAACACGAAATGAATTCAATAAAAAATATTAATATCGATAATTACAAATTTATAATTCACTTTCAGGAAGACAATTTCTCATAAACTTAATTATTTAACAAAAGCAAGACATTCTCTTTCTAATTAAAATCAATACTTCATCATTCAAGTTTCTAATGCATCGAATTGTACAAAAATAAATCATATCAAACAATCTGTTCAAACGAAACATCCAAAGTATGTAACATTTCCTGAAACTGTTTCCCTATCGCAATCTCGTTCCGTTTAATACATTTAATTAACACTAGAACCACCGTGCGTTCAATACGATTAATGCGTAATTCTTATAAAAATAATAACAACAGATTTTCTTCGGTTTCATCATATATCCATTATAACATTCAAGTAAAACTATTTATTTTAGAAATTGTTTCGGATATTTAATATTTTCTACATATGAATAATTGCGAAATAGGAAAACTTTTATAGCCCGTAGTCCGTCATTTTGGTAGATGCAGCAATTCTAGCGTTAACGCGTCCATTACAGCCTCCAAATTTCTCTACCCAGGAATTACGTTCTGTCGGAGGTTTTCCTATTCCTGGACCCCGTCCAGTATCGTGGCATAAGCCACGGCCAAATGTTGCCCATTCTGCATCAAGTAACGATGCACTGCCAGGAACACGCACACTGTCCCCCCGGGGCAAAGGGTGCATCCAGCGCGCTCGCTGACAATTCATGAATATGCATCTGTTTTCACGTTTCGCCGGGCAGATACGTGCGCGTGGACGGATTAGAGCGGGCGGTGCACGTGCGAAAACCGGTCGTCGCACGTGTTACCCGTTGATCCCTAATTTAGCTGTTGACCCCGGGGTTGGAACCACGCTTCACCTTGATTCTTTTCACGGCCGTTCCTCGAGGTCGTCCCCCGCGTCTTGACGTGGGCGAATTAGTCATCGTTATCGTTTGTTATCGTTTGTTATCGTCTACGATATCGTCGAGATATTCCCTGCGAATTGCAGTTAATATTGCAGGATAACTGGCATAAAGAAACAGTTTACTGTTGACGCGTTAAATGGGACGGAACGCGGCCGTGTCTTTTCATCGAAGGTTGATTCGTTTACCGGACTGACCAAAATGTTTCTCGGATTCAGTTTTATCTACAGTGAGTTCACTTGTCTGCTATTTATTTTTATCATTGTTAGGACAGGGGATTGACGATTTAGAAGATAATTAGGTGGACGTTTCTTTCAGTTTGTTTTATCTCTTGTTGTGTATTACGTATAGATTAAAAATGATTGACCCTTGATCGATGGTTACAAATACTTTGATGTGTTTGTTAAATCACGAGGTTATTAAAATTTTAAGAAAACTAATTTTTTCCGGGATACACTTTATTACATTTTATACGCATTTTCGAGTGTAATATGATATCGTGAAGATGGATATTTTTTATGTGTTTTGTGTATCGTAATATCTCTTTCGAACCATTTTGGAGAAATAAGTGCTCTTTAAATTCTATGTTTGAAATCTATTTTTGCAATAATGAGCTATAGGCAAATAGCAAGTCAATAATAATTTTGGAATATATTATATTTTTAGACAGTTTTTATTACTTAACCGGTGCGACGAACGGACGTATATACCGGTTTCTAAAATTACTTATCAGTAGATAATAATTAAAAATAATTATTGTCATAGACATACGTTTGATACTTTCATTGACAATAACGTCATTGTTAGTGTCATCTATTCGGAAATAGAAATTCATTCCATGTAATAATTAAAAAATTCATCTAAAACAGGTTTTATTTCATTTGCTATTTCATACATTTATTATTATACAATAAAAATAAAATAACTATATAACTATAACTATAAAAATATTGATTAATAAGTACAATTAGTACAAAAGTACGAGAGCGTGTATTAATATAAAGAACAGGGTTGAAAATACTATATGATAATGGGGACATAAAAGGGTCGCTAGAAGGGACAAGTGGGTCAATGAAGGGAACGTGGGGTTATACGCAAGTTTTTACTACAACTTTCTTGTAAACATTCGCATCACACCTAAAAATTCATTTGATTAAAAACCTAAAAATGCCAATAACTTCGATAATCAATACTTATCGCAAATATCCCAAGATAATACAAGGAAAATATTTATCTTTAGAAAACCAAGAAATATTAATGAATCAGTTTCTATCTTTAAGAATTTTTCTTATTAAAAAGTTTTAACAATTTTCAACGCAAAGTTTTCTTCTTTGTATATTCAAAATTAAAAATTAAAAATATTACAACTATCGTAATTAGCTTGAATTTGTCGATGTCTACTAATATACCATACGAACTAATAGTGAACTATAAAGCCGTAACCAGTTAACTGCGTTTGACGAGTATATACGTTATTTTAAAGCCTGAAACGATACTAATTCTTTCAACGATGAATTATTTATTTTTTTTTTAGATAAATATGTAATTCTTTAATTTGCTTTGGTCTTTCATTAAAATATATTCTAGGTGCATTCGTCTTGCGTTTGACGAGTATACAGTTCATGTTTTCATTTTATTGCGAGCAAAACTAGAGATTTTTCCAACTAAATCCCACAGTTAACAGGTTAAAGTAATAGTCTATCTCCAATTAACATTTCCTTCGCGATAGAATCCCAAATGTAGTTCCACAAAATTGCTACAAATTCGGACAGATTTCTCACAAAAAGCATCGTTGTCTGAAGGGTGCTCGCAAAAGTACAGGGACCGTTCCGCGAAGAGACTTGGCAACCATCAATGAGATTGCCGAGCGCACATGACCATGACTATTCGAAAATGAAAGAGCGGAGAAAAGCGTCCGCCAAAGGAAAATGAAATTTCTGCGGTCGTTTCCTTACGCGATCCAATCCAATCTACGGCGCAATGGCAATGACAGTGCCCGTTGCACCGTCAGAGCGAGATGCCGACGTCAGGGAAGAAGAAGGAAGGAAAGTAGTTCTTCTGGCCGTCGCATACTGACACAGTGCTGCAAGGGTCCGCAAATAAATTGTTCCTCCTCCTTTGCTTCTCGGTCTTCTCATCTTTGCTTCTCCCTCCATCTCTCTCTCTCTTTCTCCTCGTTGAAATAAAGAACGAGCGTAAGTGTCCGCCTCAGTGCGAGGCCTTTTGTCCCTCTTCTCAGTTAACCCTCTCGTTACGTACAGGGTGTCCTAGTTAACGTGACTTTTCGAGATACACAGGTTTTTCACGGAAAAACAGTCCAGGGAAAGTTTCTAAGGCACGTGATATTCAGTGTTTCGATCCGTAAAATAGTATTGTCAGTTTTTTTTTAAATGAGATCATTGATTCTTGATTCTTTGAGCTTTACTAAATTTTGAGAGAAATTCAGCGATGTGTAATAAGATGATGTCGGTGTGACTTGAAAAGTACGAAATAATGTAAATTTAGGCACTTAATGATTCAGTGGAAGTATTCAAATTTTTTGTTGGTGGTATGAAAATTGTTGTGAAATGAAAGTAAAGATGTTCTATATTTTCTTGATATTATCGTACATTTTTGTTGTAATGTGTTGGTGAAAAATGTATGGTTTTATTAAGAAACTGAAGACTAGGTTGTATGATTCATTTGACGCCCAGCAGTCTGGCGAACCGTATTTTCTTGATAGTAAAAGGAACCTTGAATTTCGATCTTGAACATCAAGTTCAAGGAATGTTATCTCTGTTTGTTATCTATAGATATACTTAAGAAAACTATAACAAGAAAAATAATGGAAAGTACTCACCTCAAGATACGTGAAAGGCGGACAACTTTAACATGTATACAAAGCTTATTTTATAAATATTTTGTATGGACCAGAGATACCAAATTTAGCTATTAAAGTTAACCCTATCACAACAGTGTTATATTTTTCATAAAATATTTGCTAAATGCTTTAAATATTATTAAAAAATTTTGTTCGGGAAGCGATAACTGTAGCATGTTATTGTTATTTAATAAAAGGAAATGGAACTTGCTTATATACTTCAGAAGAAAATTCTTGCAGTTAATGACGTTTCTCTCACAAATCCCTTTACAAAAATATAGCTTCAAGATAGCTTAAAATGGGGCACTCTCAAAGATACGACATTTCAAGAATCCTATTTTCTTAGTCACGCTTTTGGCATTTGACTGAGAAAGGATGCAATGCTTTTAAAGCGACAAAAATGACTACTTAGTATAGTAGATTAAATATATTTATAAAATATTTTTAAATAAAAAAACAGTTATTCCAACATTTTTATCAAAATAAACTTGCCTCATAATTCCTTTATTTGTAATTACCGAGTACATTCTATGTATCTATACATAAATTACATTAAAAAATCGGTGAAAATCTCAATAAACACATTGGTGTTCAATTTTTCTACCATTAAAATATTCACTATATTTTAGATTATTAAAATGAAAATAATTTATTCATATGAAATTTCGTTTCTTTTATAAATGTCATTCCATTCCAATTGCAAATATCTGATATTTCAAATAACGTCCGGAATATTTTTTTTCGAAAGTTCACCCCGATCTGCTCGAGACACCCTGTATGCATTTGCCCGCTAGCGTGTCCACCTATCTCTCCTACTCCAATGGACCTCCTTCTCCACCTCCCTCGGAAACTTTTGCCGGCCTGCTCCTCTCTCTGACCCGTTAAAATAGACAAGCGAGCCTTCTTTCCCGGCCAAAGTCACAGATATCACCGGGCGATTCTGCAGTGGACGGTCCACTGTGAGCAACAACAGTTCACCTCCGATCCGCGAGCTAGCCGCTTCTGACCGGCGTGTGCACGCGTCAGACGGGACCTGCTTGGAACTCGATCCGTGTGGACCAGATTTACGCTCGGTGGTCTCTCTCCGTGTGGACCAGTCAGGCCGGCCGTTTAGACGTTGTTCCGCCGTGGTCACCGACGGGAACCGTAGCGAAATTTTTCAACGATTTCACCCCTTCTTGGTCTAATCGATAACAGACCGAACACAATTCAAAGAATAAATCTACACCGTCGCGTTTAACGAACTGGAATCGATACCGATCGGGAGTTAGCTACCCTGCAAGCTGCTCCAGTTTCTTTCAGTCGTACACCTTGTGTATCCAATCGTTCGGGGATCGAGGAAAAACGTTTCTATCAGACTGTAATAACATCTTCGGAAGTTTCTTCGTGACCGACCAACGCAGTGGAATAAATTATTCAAGTATTTCATTGAAATGTAGGTTTCCGTCTACTATAGTTCTTGGATAGGATGGTTTGATGACCGAGTCTTTTGGTGATTTTAAACGGACAATTTGCTACGGGTTGTACTGTTCGAGATTCTTTGTGACTGACATGATTATTTGAAGTGTGGTACTTCTGGGATTTAGAGGATCGTTGCTGAACAATTTGTGTCGTGCTGAATTAGCTGTACGTCTTCGCTGTGATTGAATCGAGAATTGAATTGATATTTAGGGGAATAGTGAACTCGCGAGTGTGTTGGTTTTCCGAGATTGTTAAGAATGTTACTGACGTTGTCGATTTGTTCAGGATTTTTATTACAATGGTGGAATTCGATTCGGGACAGGGAGTGGAATGCTCAGGTGTTTCAAAGTGAACGTGTGTTTGTGGTTGCCGGTGGTGCTCGAATAAGCTTTCGATCAAATGTTTTGTAACGAGATCCGCGATGGCATTGGCGGTACTTACGAATTACACTTAATCAGTGTGAAGAGCCTACGTTAAATATTAATTGGCATTATTCGTAGTGGACGCAGCGACGTGAAACATTGAGAGGGTTTGTAATTGAAAATTAAATGAAATTCGATGGAGTATCTGTCGAGATACCAGTGATGCAGTAATTCAGATTACGTATTCGTTTCTACATTACAATTGGGCAGAGGATGTTCGAAATAATGAAACAGAAGTGAATGATGACGAAGCGAGTATCGATTCATTGAATTTATACAAAATTCACTTTATTTGTACAATGCATTTTATTACGGTTGCGTTGATTTATGTACGAATTACTGAATCTGTCGATGATCCAAAGATAGAAGTAATAAAAAAATTGTCAAGTCATAATTGAATCAGGATTCTCAAATTTCCTTAATCAAATTTTCCATAAAACATATATTTTTTATTACTTCTTCCAATAGGTACTCATAAGGTTTTATAAAGTAAAAAATCCTCAATAATATTGTCGACAGAAATCGAACAGAAAATTCACTTAATTTTGTTCATAATACAAAAATAACTATTTTTCATTGTATATTCTGAAGCAGTTCTGATTTTGGTACCAATTTCAATCGTTAATTATTTATTCATACTGTTTTCGTTGTTCGGATTAATTAATTTAATATACCGTCTTACGTTCAATCTATAGCCACGCATATTGTCGCTAAGCTGTTATACCAATGGATCAAAACGAATGAAATATCTGCTCGCGAGACGCAGTTTCGATTGGAACAGCGGCGTTCATCGTTTCGTTTCGACAGACCGATTGCGGTTTTTTGCTTTGCGGAGATTAAGAGATCTCTTAACGACCTAGATCGCGACACGTCGGTCGATCTGGAGCGAACGGAACATAGACGCTGCGTAATAGACGATCAAGGCCCGATTAGTTAGCGGAACAGAAGTTAGACGATGCGTGTTAACCCTCGCGGAGGATTTTCCGCGGTTAGATTCTCGTGAACGGTTCATAGAAAATATCATAGATCAGATTACGTCGCGGTTTCTATAAATATTGTGCCGCGCATCTCGCGCACTAAGTTTGTTTTAAGAAGACAGGATCGTTCGAAAATATCGTCACATTCATTTCACTGCACGTATCTTCTGAAATTTATATCCGAAAAATATTATACAGTTGTTCTACGATGAATATTTGAATTAACGATGTCGTTACATTTTTAACGAAACAATTCGCATAGCTTTGCAGATTAAATAAAATCTTTTAAGAAAGCATAACCTAGTTGTGAATTTGAAAAGTCAATTCCGTTTTATATGTTTTCATAGGTTAGTACCTTGAAAATATTATGAAGCAAAAATCGTGTAGAAATTTAAAGAATTGATAAAATTATCGTAATACAAGTGGAACGATCTATGTTGCTTTGTTGTTTAAATGAATCTTTGGAAAAGTGTAATCATTTGTCAATTTAAAGGAATTAATTTTCTTTTGTATGTTTTCATAGATTGATACTTTTAAAACACTACAAAGGAAGTTTAATATATTGTAGAAAGTCACAGAACTTATTCAGTTACAACGAAATGATCCAGGTAATTCGTGACTCGTCCAACATTTTGGAGCGCATTTTCCTCGAAGTTACTTCTCTGTTTACAGTAGCTGTAAAATCTGAGGCTACACTTGATTAACTAACTTTAAGGACAACAGAACTTCTTGTTTAATACTCTACCACTTTCTTTATAGTTCAACATTTTTAAGTGAAAAGTTCAAGATACTATCTCCTATTTCCATTCGGTTTGAAAATATTACTATTGCAGTTTCGCTATTTTTTAGTAATTTCAAATTACAATTTGTTGTTAATTCTGGTCATTACCTTTTATACAAAACAGAAAATATTTCAGAGTGCAACAAAAAGTTAAAATCATTTAATATATAAACTTGTCAGAATTTTCAGGGAAAAAGAAATGAAGAAAGCGACTGAATGATCTGATGAAAAATAATAAATCATGCATTGAAATTTAATAACTTCGTTATAATTTGATATTTAATATTATATAATCACGTATATGAACATTAAATATCAAATTATAACATTAATTTCTTTTCTGTACAGTAATTTTCACGAGAAAATCCGAGTCGCTTCATATTTTCTTTTCCTTTTATCCTCTTTGCTACCGTATTATCATTATAATGTTCAAAATAAAGTACACGAGAGGTCCAATTTAAAACTACCACAACAATATTATTAAAATAAATTCCCAACATATTTCTCGCAAGATAAAATTTCACCCATTATACCCTCCGAAGATTAAAAACATTCCCCAGATATTTCACAAATTCTACTCTTAATGGAAACAGCAATTA